TCTTCATTATTAGACGCTAGTTTCATCACTTCTTCTTCTTTATCATCTACTTCATTAACATAGTCAGGTTGACTCACTTCTTCATCCGTACTATCTATTTCATTAACATGGGTAGGTTGAATCTCTACTTCATCCTCATTCAACGCATTCACATTGTTGCTTTTGAAGTACTTGTTAATATCCCCTACTTGACTTTGAATCAATGCAATTTCATTTCGTTTCCTTTTCCTCTTTTGAGCACCAGACTCATATTTAGGAGGTATAGTGTTTGAGTCTATATCTAATGTCCAATGATTAACCTAAAAAACAATTACAAAATATCCCAATCATCACACAATTACAATTTCCAATATAATTACTATGTGCGTCTGTGCAATTGTTCATCCCACAATAACCAATCATATAAGCCGACCAGGCTGCAATTATATAAGCCAACAAGGCTTCAAACATTTTCAATCTCTTTAATAACAAGTTAGGGCAAGTCATTGCTTACCTGAGAAGTGAAATTTTGACGATAATTGTGGAATTACACCGTTGAGTATGATCTCATCACAACTCACAAGCCTTTTCTTCTATAGTTTGGACTCGGGTTTAAGTTTTCTAGAGGAATGGTTTGGAAAGCTAAGTGAGATGCCCCCTTCTGGTTATAAACTTATTACTGCTGCTCATATGAAGCCAAAAATAAATGGAAAAAATAAGAGGATTAAGGTATCATTGGAAAATATTTAATAATAAAAACAAAGTGAAGTATGATTTATGCTCTTTTGTATTAGTCCATACCTACTATTTTATATATCGTAAACAAGACTTGGTGTGAAAATTGTTCTTTTTCTCTCATTAAAGTTATCTTTTTTGAGGTTATTATGTTTCATGTTTGAAAATGTTGTTGAGGGTACATTTATGATCAATCAATTTCCTCCCTTATATCTGTAAATGCTGATTCTAAGATAAAGCTGTCCAATTTCCTCCCATGTATCTGTAAATGATGGTTTTATCTCTTGAAAATGGAAAATCAGGGAATCTCCATCTATAATCTGTCTACATTTTCTCCTTGCAACTACTATTTTGCCGATATTTCACAAATTTTCTGAAATAAAGTAGCACCAATCAATGGTCATCACTCAAGAAAGTAGCATTCATCAATGTGATTTGATTTGTTTATGTTCACATCTAAATGGTGCAGACGTGAATTCCAAACTCATGATCATTGATTTTAACCTTCAATAAACTAGGGCAAAAAATCGAGAGTTCTTCCCATACTTTCATTGTTTTGAGTTGTTTAATGTTTAAAGTTCTAACCATATATTGCCACTTTCGGACATCAACAATATGGTTCAATTTTTTCCCTTTCGACTCTATTTATATAACAGAGTTGGAGATTAAAAAAACAAAATTCCTGAACAACAGATCATTAGAGCAAGTATCAATATTCGAAAAATACTAGTTATTTGATAGATTTGAAGAATATTAAACCCGAAATCAAAATTAAAATTAGATTAAGATAAGTATTAAGTGCCTAGATTTGATAAATTTGAAGCATTTGAAAAATTGAAAAAGGCGTTGGTTAGCACTTCACTACAATTTCACTTTGTATTCATCTTCATGCCCCTTTACTGAAGAGTGAAGACTGAGTCACTGAACTGGCTGAAGAGGCAACTCAAGAGCAGAAGAGTTGAAGAAGAGCTGCAGTCGGCAGAAGGGCGGAGTCGACTAGCGAGGAACAGCCGAACAAGCACGGAAGAAGCGAGGAGTACTAGCGAGTGGCCACTGACCTGAAGGCTGAAGAAGACGACAGGCGAGTGGCGACGACTACCGGACTGGGGACTGATGAGCAGAGCTGCAGAGGCGTTGAGCAGATTTTGGGAAATTTTTGATTTTGGGAATTTTGGAACTTTTGATTGAATTTTGGGAATTTTTGGTTAATTGGGTTGGATAGTGGATATTAGATATGTAAATTGGGTTGGGTAAATAATTTGAAAGGTAAATGGATTGTGAGCTCGTTGGATAATTGGTTTTGGTTCTTTGGGCCGGCTGTTTTTAAGAGGGAAAAAAATTATCGGGCCAAAATTAGGCCCTTTCGGCCGGCTGGATAATTGGTTTTAGCTTGGGCCAACTGGTCTTGTTTTTAAGAGAGGAAAAAAAAATTTGGACCAAAACGAGGCCCCCTATGGTCCTGGGCCTGAGGCGCCGGCCTCACTCACCTCAGCCCAGGACCGGCCCTGTGCTTCTTGCTAGTGCTAATAAGTCTGAAATTGATAATATCAAACACAAATTAAAACTAGAATTTGATATGAAAGATCTTGGTTCCGCTAGGAAAATACTTGGCATGCAAATCATAAGAGATGAGAAATCTGATTACTTATTCCCAAGTCAACAAGAGTATGTGAATAAGATCCTTAAGAGGTTTAATATGTTTGATTGTAAACATATGACTTTACCCCTTGCTAATCACTTTATATTAATATTTGATTTGTGTCCTAAAATTGAAGATGAACTTGAAAGAATGTCAAAAATACCTTATGCTAATGCTATTGGTTCAGTCACGTACATAATGATTTGCACCAAACTTGATTTTGCATTTAGTATTAGTGTTTTGAGTAGATTTATAAGAAATCCTGGTGAAATTCATTGGGAAGCATTGAAGTGGTTGTTGAAATACTTAAAGGGTCCATCCAATTTAGGATTGATGTTTAAAATTGACAAAGAAGTTGTAATTTTAAAGGTTTATACAGATTCTGATTTTGCTGAAAATAGCGACAATAGAAAATCAATTTCATCTTATTTTTACACTTTGTGTGGTACTGTGATAAGTTGGAAATCTCTGTTGCAAAAAATTGTTTCTCCATCTTCAAAGGAGGCTGAAGATATTGCAGCCATTGATGCCATTAAAGAAGGCATATGGCTGCGTGATTTGTTGAATGAACTTGATTTTGTAGACACTAATCCAAGACCATATTTTGACAATCGAAGTGCAATTTATTTGAGTAAAAATCCCATGTTCCATGATTAAACAAATCATATTGATGTAAAATACCACTTCATAAGGGATATTATCTCAAAAGGGTTGCTGAAAATTAATAAAATATCTACTTTGTACAATCCATCAGATATGGAAAATAAGGTGATACCTTTAAATAAGTTTCAAAACTGTTTAAAGATGTTATCTACTAATTCTTTTCATTGATTGTACAAGTACCATAGAGCAAATGACATTATAAATGTTGGTGAAACTCCTGGCTACACTAAAGCATTAAAATTTTGGAAGCAAGGTAAAGATTGTTGAGAATCGAATAGCTAATTTTTTACATGAAGATGTGTGCTTCCAAAATAGAGAAAAACATGTTTTACAAATGACAAATTAATTAGTGGAACTTTATACAAGATCTTGACACGTGGTGACTTGGAGGCTGTCCGATTGAGTTCTAGATCCTTCCACATATAAAGTCTTGTGACTCTTCTTCTGGACGATAGATTATTAAGAGATTTTTCTTGGTTTTGGGGTAGACTCTTTGGCTCTCTCGGTGAGGAACCTTTTTTTCTTCATGGTTTAGGGCTTGGTTTCTGAAGTGTTTCCAGAAAATAGTTCTTGTGTAAAACCTTGAATTACTATAGTTCCTTATAGTAGTGTACTGCTGAGTTGGGTTTATAAGAATCTGAGTGATTCTTTTTTAGGCAGTTCAGGTTTTATGAGATCTTAGTGATCTCGTTCGGTTCCTTGGTGTAATACTAGTTGATTTTTGTTATTTCTCTTAAAGATTTGTGATTCATTGAAGGCAGCATCTGTGATGTGAGATCCGTGTGATCCGATTTTTTATTCCTTCGTGGAAGTATGGTCTGCCTTGTTGGTTATGTTAAGATAAGTCTTAGTGACTTGGTTCTTATAATATTTTTGGAACATTATTGTATACTTGCTGCCTATTTTTGGGGCTTTATAGTGCAATTGAGCTTTATCTATTTTAATGGATGCTCAACAGGGGATTAGGCAATATAAGTAGTCATCGAACCTTTGAGGTTTCGACCGAAAAATCCTTGTGTTGATTTTACAATTTTATGCACTTTACTTACTGTTATTATTGTGGTTTTATGAATCTTAGTTAATTCTTGGATGCTCCTCGACTTTTCAGCTAGGATGAGGGACGAAGGTGTGGCAAAAAGTGATTAGTGCAAAAATTGTCTTTTTTTCCCCCCCTCTTTAAATTGGCCAATGAGCATTATGTTAAGGAAGGTGGCAAATCTATCTGTAATGTAGCAAGGTTGTCATCTATGACACCATCTCGTTGCTGAGCTGGCGTTAATAGTTAAATAATTCACGAATTTGAGTTCAATAAACTTATATTAGGGACCTTATTTGGTTGAATAGTAATATTATTTAACACCATGTACTAGTGTTCAGATCAATCCCTGTGTTATCATTCGTCATTTAATCATAAGTTCAATTAAATATAAGGATTTATGACTCATTTAATAGGATTTATGATATATTCATAGTTAGACCGGTGTTCAACACTACTAGATAGCATCATTATTCCTAGTTGAATTGGTTCCCGCCCCCTTATATAACGTTGTGGAGTGAAATATGATTAAATATATCAGACTTTGGGGTCCCTTAAAAATAAATTTGCATAATAAAAATGCGAAGGGTACATCTATTTATTATTTTTACTATTTTTTATTATTAAAGGAAGTAAGAGTTAACATTAGTATTACAAAATCAACCAATGTAAATTACGAAGATAGAATAAATACATTTTTGACGAAAAACAAAAAATATGTGCACGATTGTCAATCAAATGGTTCTATATATCATAGATCATAGATGATGTGAATTCTTTTATCGAAATCCATATTTTTATAGAACAATGTGATAATAATTGCGAGTGACAAATATAAATTTAATTAGAAAATAACCATTTAAAATAAAAATACGTGTTAATAATATTTCATTTAATATAGGTGACATCTTATATTAAAGATGAAATTAAAAAAGTTTTATTCCAACAACTTACTTATCTCCAAGAACATTACATCATTTAGCAGAGCAATTGCAGAAGCATATATCGTTTTTACATTCACTGCTTCCATTGTATAAAGATTTACACAATCTCGCACATATGCCACCTATCTTAATGTTATCGTCTTTGCCTTTTCTGCAGAAACCAAGTTCAGGAAAATTTCGACATCCACCTTCTTGACCAATTACATCCTTGCAACCTAAACCCACAAAAGAATTGAATTATACAAAAAATATTTTTATTTTAAACTAAATGTAATAGAAATTAAATTGTCAAACGATGAAGAAATACCTAAAGAAAGGATTAGGAACATGACAAGGATAGAAGCAGCAGTACTCTTCATCATGGAAATTCTTTCTTAGGCAAGCAAAAGAAATTATTTGTTTGTGGTATGAAAAGGAGTATTAGGTGCCATTTATATATGTGTATAAATAAAGAATTCAGGATCAAATTTTTGGTATTAGGAAATTAAGATATCACCTCCAGCAATCAAGCTTCCATTAGTGGGAGAGGAATCATCTTCTCCAGCAATTAATGGGAAGCTTGATGGAGAGTTTACTTGCTTTTCCATTTAAGGTCAAGACACCAAAAAAGGAAAAAAAAGAAAAAAGAAAGAAAGAAAAGATGCATTTTACAATCTTGAAGTACATTCTATAGTAGATTCTAACAAATGACTAAGCAAATAAACCAAAAAAAATCAATTTTTTTTGCATATATTACTGGTTCCATTTTTAGTTGGAAACTTGATCGAGTACTTTAATAACTGAACCAAATAATCGAGCAAGCTAATAAAATGATAATTTATTAGTAGTTTACTCGATAATCGTTACACATGGAATATATTACTATAATTTGAACGATTGGCTGTAACAATTATACCATATAATTGTTGTAGCATAAAAGTCTCAAACATTCAAAATTAAAGTCAAATTTCAATATTGTAGTTTTTTATTTTATTTTATTTTAATTTCAGTTTTAACATAAAATTATAACTAAGAATTTTATAGTGTAACTTATATTTTATTTGGAATAATTCCGATTATTTTGGGGTGAAGGATTATTCTTTATACAAATTTATTTATTTTTACTTTTTTTGACAATTCAATAAAGGGTCATTCTTTATATCCTTATAGCCATGCCCATAAAAGGAGAACCAACTATAAGCTATACAAGTTTTATATTGGAATCGTTTAGTGCTACACGACTTTAAGATATCGTGTTTTGACGTGACTCCCTAATACTTGCTTTTTAACTCTTCTTATGTTTATGATAATCTATCTACACATAAATCACTTGTTTTTTCCCAACAATTTTAAAGTCGTGTTAGGTAATTGTACGTAGATGATTAGCTTTACAGTCTCGAACTAGTAAAATTGAAAAATTTCTTAATCTCTTAGACAGGAAGAACTAATTTTGGTGGTATTTATCCCATGAGAAAGAATGTCCATAAATATACATATCACTGGACCGAGTGGTATAAATTTATGGATGAAAAAAAAAATTAAGTTTGATGTTATTAATGTATATCTTGGTACAGTGGCGGATCCAGGATTGGAAGTCAATTAGAGCTGCCGTTGAACATTGACTATCGACAGTTGATGACCGTAATAGCGATGTCGTTTATTAATATTTAATTAAATAATATTAAATTTTTTTTCAATCTATATGTAAATAAATTAAAACAACAATCACGGTAAATGTTCTTCTTAGGATTGACATTAAGCTATCTAACCATTTGTATGCATGGCAACATTTTAAGAAAAATCTAAAAAAGCACAAGAAAAATTGAGAGAAATCCAAGTCACATACCATGATATCAAATTGCTCGGGCTTGGAAGCCAGTTGCATGCAGAAGTTATCCATAATATCTCATTGTTGATCCCTAGATATTTTGTGGCAACCTCTAGACAAGATTCTAAAAATAAACCATCGGCGAGCTTCATGATATTGGCTTTGTTCATAATTGTCACTTTCTTTCTGCCGTTTAAATAAGCATACTCAAAGGCATATTTTGCAGTGTGCTCGGAACTAAACTTTGGTATGACCTACAAAATGTGCAACATAAGAAAAATGAACTTTTCAGCCAATGCAGAGTAGAACATATATGCCTTCACATTGTTGAGGAATATAACATAAACACTGAGTAACAATTCATGCCAAAAGCTTCTATTTTTAGCTGTGACCATTTCTGATTATTCCATCAAGTCACAAATTTTAATAACAGCCAATTCCAACCAACATAGTCTAATTCACATGACAATTAACTATCACAACTGACCTCAACATAAAACCAAACTTAAGATATTCAATTATTTCCATTCGAAATTCTATTTGAACATATCATATAACCCTCTGAAGTCGATCTATCAACTTCAGTTTGGATCTCATATATAACGCCATTCTTTGCATTCGTAATTGGTATACTCAATTCAAGTAATTTTTTTCTACCTTCGCGGATGTAACCAGATAATGAAATCACCCAAAATTACACAAAATCCTTTGAAGTCAAACAATAAGTAGATTATTACCTTAAGGCTTTTGGAAACACCGAAACCACGGTAGAACATCGGGTTTGGAATTAGGCGTTTAGCTTTTTGAAGCTGTGATTCAATGGTTGTGAATTGAGAAATGTCGTGAATGACTATGAGCATGTGGTAATGAATAATGGGCCATTGTTTTTACTGAAGAAAAGGCCAAACTAAAAAAATGCCTAAGTGAAAAAAAGCCCAACTATCATCGTCCCCAATCTTCTTTCTACCTCAATTCATTGTCTTGACGGCCATGGTGGCAAGTTTTGAAAATTTCAACTGCACGGCTGCATCTATAGATTTCGACGGAGCCAGCACTCAACGAGCCGCCCGTGCTACCTCGCTGAGTGTTGGCTCCACCACTGTCTTGGTAGAATGGCAGGGAGAATATAAAGCTGTGCACAAGGGTGCC